AAAAGGGTGAAATCAAGGTCTTGCGACTGAGAGATAAGGGTAAGGGAGTCTGTTACGCAAGGGGAAGGTATTAGCACCCCACACGCCCGTAGTACTCTACGGTATCCACTCTTGTTGTCTATCTTATGGGTGTGTTTGGTCTATATCTAAACTGTACAGGAAATGCATGCAAAAGAAACGGGAAAAGAATGTAGGGAAAATAAAATTGTGCTCGTTCGGGCCCTACCCTGATGCCTACTGTGATCGGTGGATCTGGAACTGACTGTTTAACGCTGGTTTCGCGAAATGTCGTGGAAGCAAGAGTCGCCACCGTCTTTTATTTTCTCCAACATGGACAGGACAAAAGCACAGCAAAATTCCTTATGAGATAGTTTCTCGGTTCGGGAGGTAGATTTATAGAAAGGGAAGGTGTTAGCACCCTTTCTATCCATGGTTATCCATGGGCTCTTAGATACTTGCTCATTTGTGTTTTCAAAATGTTTGTTTGCTTTTCAAAGTGTGAGTGGGTTTGAAAAAGTTTCGTTTAAAGATTTCAGATCGACTCTTGTATCAGTCCTCAAGAGTGTTTGAAAAATTGTTTGAAAGCTTTTTTGAAAGTGTCAGTGTGAAAAGAGTTTTGATTTGTTTTGAATTAGAGCAAGTATCTACGAGTCATCTACCTACCCTAAGGAATTAGGCTGTGTAAAAGTCCTTAAGGTAGTGCCATCCCACCATTGAGAGGTAGGTAGCACCACCGTTGGAGGTGTTCGGGTCAATTCGATTTTAGGGACATGTGGTCACCAAAGCAATAGTAGGATACCTTAGAAGCTACCCTTATGTCCTTGATCCTTTTTTAATCCGAGGCAACCGTTTCGAGGCAACTTTTCTGAGGCAACCGTTTCGAGGCAACTGTTTCGAGGTGACTGGATCATGGACATAAGGACTTACTAAAACGTCCTATACTTGACGACCACGTTTCGAAGGTAAGGCAACAGTGAGGCGTACCCTAAGAGTGGTGTGTGAATTTGTGTGTTGTTTTCATGTAAATATTTGTCTTTGATCATGCATTTGTGGTGATCTACGCTTGTTTTTAATTAGTCATTCATTCTTTCATGCAAGTTAGCAGTTTAAAAGTGCGGAAATTAAAGTGCGGAAAGTAAAATTCTACGCTATTACAAGGCGCGGGTCTATACATCGCCAAATTAACAAAGACCCGTTTTGAATAAAAAATGCAGAAAGTAAATAAATTCCTAATTACTATTACAAGGCTTGAGCAATTACATAATATTCACAAAGGAAAATAAAATAACATGCGAAACGAAATAAAAATTGAACGTTCGAGGGTGTTGGACCCTTTTGAAATTAAATTGAATGAAAGGTTAATGAATTATTTAATTAAAAGAAAAGAAATGTTTTTTATGTTTTTGGTATTTAATGGAATAAAAAAATTAAAATTAAAATTAAAAGAAACCCTAATTCTAAGTTATTTTTAATTATTAAAGAAAAATATTAAAGTTTAACCTAATTTACTAAAATATTTATGTATATGTTTATTTACAAAATAAATTAGTAATTAATAATAATAATAATAAGAAAAAGTTATTTATTAAGAAAAGTGATAAAAAGTTAAAAACCCTAATTTCTACATATTTTAATTTGTTAAGAAAAATATTAAAGTTTTGAAACCTAAATTAATCTAATTAATTGTTTAAAGTTTATTTACAAAAATAATGGTGAAATTAATATTAATAACAATAAACATTTTTTTTTATTTTTCTGTATTTTATTTTTATTATGAAAATTATTTGATGGAATTAAAAGAAATAATTAAAACATTAAAAGAATAAAAAGAAAATCAAATAGAAATAAAAAACAATGCAAACCATGGGGGGTATTCAGACCCAAAGGGAGGTTTTTTGGAAGCAATTTGGCCCATTAGACAAAAAACCTTGTTTGACTTTCTGGCATCACGTGCGTGTTCATTGACTCCTGAGTACCGTGGTCTGCATTCTTTGGCCATTGGATTGGGTTTCATGCATAAGTTGTTCTACTTTGGCCATTTGGCTTTTAGCTTTTGGCCATTTGTGTTCTGGCCTCAACGTTCCTTAATGAACCTGCATGGGATCCTGTCTAAAATCTGCAGTATTGAATCTCATGAACCCATTAAATAAAATCATAAAATGCGAATAAAGTCAATATATGAAGAAATTTAATGTTTAGGCACAATATGGCATGTATGAATGATTATACCCTTTTGATCATGGAGATCAAATCAATCTTACCCTTACTGGAAAATTAGTGACCCGAATGCTTTTATGCCCTTTGGATCATGGAGACCAAGCCAGCCTTATCCTTACTGAAGAAGTAGTGAGGTGTTGGTTTGTAACTGTGATGACTTGTTTGTAGTGAGAGAGAGATTTGTAATAAGGATTTCAAGGTTTTAGGGTTCTTGAAAGAATTTGATATTCTAACAGTGTTGTGGCAAGGTTTTTTCTCTCTTTTCCTCCTCTCTGGTTTGTGTGAAAAGAAGGTGATTATATAATGGAAATTAGGGTAAAGAAAATGGGCTTTGAATGTGCAATTGGGCCTCCAATGTTCACTTGAGTTCGTCACTTTCCAGGCTAAATCGCAGGGACTTAAGTGCAATTTTTGAAGTTGAAATGTGAAAACAAAATGTAGCCGACATCGAGAACTAACTTCTGTCCGAAAATCGGCTCATCGGATAAACGGTGAATTAATTATGAATTTTTGAAGTTTCAGCTCAGACAAACTTATTTTGGGCTCCAGTGTCGACTCTGACACGTTCTTCAATAAAAAACTGGTATTGATCGGAGCATAATCCGGTCTCGACTTTTGAAGCAAAGTTGTAGATCTATGAGTCAGTGACCTTGTGTAAAAATATGAGCCCAATCCGATAAAATTGACCGAGTTATGAATTTTCGATGTTTCGGCCCAGATGAAATAATATTCAGCATTCAGGATTTTCAGCGTGTTATGCACTTTGAGCAAAAAACGAAGGCCTTTTGAATACCGTTTGAACTCAATACCTTCTGTGAAAATGTATTCACTTCAATTTGTGAAATTTTGGCGCCGGAACCAACTCGATACGATGAAAATCGACCAAGTTATGATTTTCTGAACATGACGCAAATAAACTTCTGTCACAAATTTTCTGTGCAAAAATACTTGATAAATCCACATTTTTGAAGACCTTCTGATCGAAATTGGCTTCCCGCCGTGAGAGATGAAAACGTAGATAATGTCAAGACGGAATTTTGGCCACCGGAACGGGTTCAATACGAGCCACGATCTTCAAGTTATGAATTTTTTAGCGCGTAAAAACTGCACTTTCAGCACACTTTTTCACCATATTTCTTCGAGAAAACTCACACATTCGGATACCTTCTTTAAAGAATTGACTCTTGAGCCGAACATGAATTTGAGAATATGTTATCAGAGATATCTTGGCGAAAGAATACCTGAATATGACGCGCCGGGTTGGACTTGTGAATTTTTCTTGAAATATTTTGAGAAATATGGGAGGGCAAATTTTGGGGTACAACACCTACGTATCCCTTCTAAGGAATCAGAGCAGCCGTAGTTTGGCTTATATGTTTTTGTTTGTTTGTATTTTTTAACTGAACAATATTAATTTCGCCTTCTGCCGCAACTCGACCTTCGGAGACTTACGCGTCAGCACAAAAGTGAATTAATTTGTTCTTTTGAAAAGTTTGGAAAGAAATGTGCCTGGACGCACAAAAAGGTTTGAATTTGGATCGTGTTTTTGATGAACGATATTAATTTCTCCTTCTGCCGTAACTCGACCTTTGGAGACTTACGCATCAGCACAGAAGTGAATTAATATGCTCTTTTGAAAAGGTTTTGAAAGAAAGGGCCCGAAGGCAAAAAGAGTTTTGTATTGGTCGATGTTTTTGCTTGTAAGAAACAACTAGTTGACCTCAAGAGAGGGATTTTAGCCACTTTTCTACTTAGCCATGAAAGGGGTCTTTGAGAAGTGAACCACACCTATGCTTGAGATGGAGAACAATAAGATCGAGAAGAGACCCGCTTATCGTTTCCCATACTAAGCAAAAGCATGATTCTCATCAGTAGTTTTAAAGTGTTTTGAATTTTGAAAGAAAGAGAAAGTTTTAGTTTTAGACGCATATGCGAAAGGGAAAGAAAAGTCAAAAGGAGACTAGCTTACTTCTAAACCTAATGCTATTATGTATTGTTAGACCTAAAGTTAGAATTTTGAGGGAATTCTACCTAATGTTAGTATGCATATGGATTGCGATAAAGTACGAAAATGAAGAATAAAATAGATTTGTGACGATACCGAACGGAGAAGGTCCGTTGCCTCTTCAAAATTGTGCAAGCGGTAAGAAAATTCTATCAAGGTTCCCTTGGGCAAGTGATTGAAGAATTAACCCCAAACATTCCATATTGCAAGAGTTATATCAATGCTATCACAAAAATCTTGACTAAAAAAAGTCAATAAAAATGATTACCAAATATGAAAAATAAAATAGAAAAAATTCTAATCGAAATTCTAAAAAGAAATTCTAAAGAAATCTAAAATATTCTATTGTTTTGTATCATTTTATTATCAATTGAGAGAGAAAATTAAACTAGAAGAAAACTAAAATAATAAAAAAGAAAAATTAGAAGAGTCAGGAGGTATGAGCTGAATTCAGGGGTGTAGTGCAGTAATTTGCCCAAAAAGATTTTTGTCCAATTTCTTCAGGTTAAAAAAACAACAACACGGGCCTAAAGCAAAGAAGTGAGGCCCAGTCTAATTAATTCCTCATTTTCCAGCATATTTTTAATTATCAATTTACATTTATAATTATTAGAAAAGATAAAAAACGAAAATAAGAAAATAGAAATTGAAATGGGAATAGGGTAAAAAAAAACTGTGCTTCGCCCTTCTTCTTCTCTCGCGGCTCAGCGGCGGCGGCTCCCTTCTCCGCCGTACAACCTTCTCTGTCTCCGATTCAAACGGCTCCTTGACGTTCATCATGAAATCATCTTCCACTGCTCATCTTCTCGACGTCTCATCACTTTCATTCGCGGATTTAGGATTTGCGATTCTGTTTCCTCGCGTTGCCTCAACGGCTCAGCCTCACTTCGCTCGCGCCTTCACCGTCTCAGCTTCCGCCGTGAAAGCACCCTTTGAAAGACGCTATTCATTGTCTCCTCTGATGTGGCTTTATCTTCGTCGACGACGCGACTACTCCACCGTCTCAAGCCTCATCGCCTTCTTATCAATTAGTTTCTCACTTCTATTGGAAGACAAGTCTGGCGCGTGTTCAAAACTCAGGTATGCGTATTTGATTCCATTTTCTCTTCTTCCCCAAATCCAATTACGTTTCGATTATTGCTTAAGCCTTCGTTGTTGTTGTTGTTGATTGATTGCAGAGATTGAAATAGAGCATGATGATGGTGATGCAGTTCTTGCAATGAGGATATGAAGAGAAACATTGATGAAGATCAAAAGAATCGGTATGGCGATGTTGATGAATACGTGATTTTTAAATTGAAGCAGTTGAAAGAATCAATTGCAGAAAATCAATCGTGCAGAGATTTTTATCGAGAGTTTAGAGGTGTTGTTACGAGTTCTTCTTGAAAAATTCTAAAGGATGAAGAGAGAGCAGAGATTTTTCTGGAGTATTTTTGAGAAATGAGTCGTGAATGCCGGTTTGAGAGAGAGAGAGGAGCAGAAGAAGTGCAGAGAAAAGGGTGGAGGTTGAAGGTTTGTGAGATGATGATTGAGGTTGCAGCCAATTGTTTGCGGTTGGATGAAGATGTAAAAGGAATGGTGGATTGAGGAACGATGGGAGAAAAAGGTGAGATGAACCTTTTTTCTTTTGAGATTTTTCTATCTTTTCTGGGTTGTTGAATCGTATATCCCCTATTCTGTCAATCTCTTTTTTGTATATGCTGTGAACTCTACTATATATTTTCTTTAGAGTTTGTTGGGGTTTATGAGCTTTTGAATTCGGTTAAAAAAACAGTTTGAAGGTTAAGTATTCTGTTGCAGTTTTTTTTTAGAAGCGGTTAGAGTTAGTTAGGAGGTTGGAGGAAATTTGTTAAGTTTGTGAAAGTTAGTTATAATGCTGTTAGGAATTTGTTAGGATGCAGTTAAAAAAAAAGTTAATTCTGTTTGCAGTTAGTAGTTTAATTGTTAGAGAGAAAATTAGAAGTTAGAAAATCTGTTAAGAATAGTTAGTTGGCAAGATGAAGGTTATGTCATTGGCTTGTTAGTTTTGGTTCTGATTGTGAATTGTTTTGATGCGATTTTACAGGTTTTGTTCCAAGTGGCCAGTAGGACTTGTGTTTCCAACCGCATTTGAATTATGATGGCGGTGCTTGTGGCATTGAAGAACTACTTTAATTGGAGTAATGAATTTGCAGAGGTGCAAGCCATGTTGAGAGAAATTGAGCTCTCTGTTTCTGTAAATTGTTAAATCCACAAACACAGCATCTGGACAAACTATTTGGGAAGAAGCGTTCCTAAGCTTGGCAATTACTAATGGGTTGCCAATTAATTTAAACGTCTCGGCAAAGACTTTCAGACCCAGGAGTTTCTTTCCCTTTTGAAGAACATTGCAAAATTCAACGGCAATTGAGTGAAAGTGTTCCTGAGAACCATGAAGACATACAGCTTGCAGCTTGAGCAATATTGTCAAATTCCCATCTTTTCATAAGTTTAGCTTCTATAGCCAGTGATGTATCAGTATGGAGATCATTAAAGTAGTTGATACCACGAACATTGTTCCATGCAACTTCAAATACAATAAAGCCATGTAGAGTTCTATGTAGTTTACTGCTGAATTGCAAAGAATTCCTTATGTTTTTTTTAGGCTGCAACCCTCTCTTTCTTGATGACGCAATTGCTTCAATCTCTGAGAACAATTTCTTTGGTTTACTTATGCTTGGTTGAGAAGAAACCTCCTTCCTTTTTTTTTCAAAACATTCAAGATTTCATGAACTTGATCATGCTGATTGTTTTCTTTCAAAACTTTTCTTACAACATGTTGCCATATGTTCTTGATTTGACCTTCACTCGAAGGCTTAATCCAATATCCACAAGCACCTTTTTTAATCGCCTTCATCACTAGACTTGGAGTTGTTGATTGATCAACACACATCATAATGACTGGAATTCTGATTTGCTGTGTAACATGTTGCAAGAAATGGTAGGAATTCATGTCAGGCATTTGAGCTTAACTTAGGATCACGTCATAAAGATTCCTTATTTCTTTCAAAAAGTTCAATGCAAAAGATGCATTACAGCAGGTTGTAACTAGATAATTGCATTGAATGCATATCTCTATAATGGAATTCAGAGTAATTGTGTCACGATCCACTATGAGAACCCTTAAACCATGTGGAAATTGGTGTAATGGGATTGTAATGATTTTATAATGAATGTTTGGTTCGGATGAACTTGAAATTTATAGTGTGAATTGTAAATGACCCTTGAGCTTGAAATGTTGGGTGATGAATTTTAAGGACGGGGTTTAAATGACAAAGTCTTGAAAAAATGCTTGAAGACATGAAAGCATCAAATTTTCTTGTAAGGTATTGTTACACTTGAATGAAATTGAATGGAATTGGATAGTATTTTTTTGAATCATGAACGAAAGGGTTCGAATAAACTTTGAATACATGTGAACTTGAATCTGGAATAACGATGAACATCTTTGTAATGCGTATGAACTCCGACTTGAAATAAAACCTCGCAGTCTGTACTTTACCTTCCAAGAAAACCATATGACCAATACTTAAGGCTCTTTGCCGACTTTAATCCAACCAAACACTTTTGAACATCTTGAACTCAAATCAAACTTCAAATCCAAATCACACTTGCATTCTCAATGAACTCCTAACTTCAATCTTGAACCCAAATCAACTTGAAATGACAAATAATTTGAATAGTCAATAAGATCTTGATCAGATGGATGATAAAGTCTGAATCACAGAAGAATTCCCTTGATGTAAAACCCTTACAATCTTGATTCCTCGTTTAGACGCACAGAGAAATATCCGGACAAAACATCTTTGAACCATGATTCATAAAAACCTAAATTGATTAACTGAGGAGTAGATGATTGTCATGTCACAGTCGTTAATCCTAATCAAATGACAAACATACTTATAGGAAAGGACGCCATGATTCGAAGCCCACATATGTTAGGTCACGTCCTAGAGTTCTTGACCAGAATGACCTACAATCGGTTGTTTATCAGAAGATATTATCCCTGTAACTTGGTGGAGGAGAAGTCCAAAAATGAGCCTAAAAAAACATAATTCCAAAGCTTGCTGCATGAATAAGAAATCATCCTTTATTGGATACGAGCGCCTTAACCACTGTGAAACCCTAGTATCGCACAACCACTGAACTTTGAACCTCAGAGCTATATTGAATGAAATGTATGCCATGTTAGTGACCTAATGAAATAGATGCAGATGAATGCAAAAAGTCTAAGCCAAAGTAAAAGAAATTAGGAGGGCAAATTTTGGGGTGCAACAGCTGCCCCTATTTAATCGCCTTAGACCTGAAGGTGAGATTGACGCCAGCCTTTCGAACCTTCAAGGTAAAAGAAGATTAAATACTAAAAGAACCCGAAAATTTGCGCTCCGAAGCCTGTCATGTATTATTATATTTTTGGTTTTCTGTATTTTCTGTATTTTTTTTAGGTAAAAAGGATTATCAGGGTTAGATGTATGTTTAACCAGAGTTTGACACACCGAAGGATAACTTGGTTATCGAGGAACTCTTGTTGGGATTTAGTAACAAACACTTGTAAGAAAGATATCAAAAGGTATATGCCTGAAGTCTGTAGCAGACATACGAAAAAAAGTATCAGAGACACATATCCGGGGTTGGTAGCGGATATACAAGAAAGAGACATCAAAAATACATATCCGTGGTTGGTATCGGACACGTAAGAAAGAGATAGAAAAGATACATATCCGTGGTCGGTATCGGATACGTAAGAAAGAGATAGAAAAGATACATATCCGTGGTTGGTATCGGATACGTACGAAAGAGATATCAAAGATACATATCCGTGGTCGGTATCGGATACGTACGAAAGAGACATCAAAGATACATATCCGTGGTCGGTATCAGATACGTACGAAAGAGACATCAAAGATACATATCCGTGGTCGGTATCGGATACGTACGAAAGAGACATCAAAGATACATATCTGTGGTCGGTATCGGATACGTACGAAAGAGATATCAAAGATACATATCCGTGGTCGGTATCAGATACGCACAAAAGAGATATCAAAGATACATATCCGTGGTCGGTATCGGATACGTACGAAAGAGACGTCAAAGATACATATCCGTGGTTGGTATCAGATACGCACAAAAGAGATATCAAAGATACATATCCGTGGTCGGTATCGGATACGCACAAAAGAGATATCAAAGATACATATCCGTGGTCGGTATCGGATACGCACAAAAGAGATATCAAAGATACATATTCGTGGTCGGTATTGGATACGTAAGAAAGAGACATCAAAGATACATATCCGTGGTCGGTATCGGATACGTATGATAGAGACATTAAAGATACAAGAATATATGTCTGGGGTTGGTAGCAAACATATAAAACAGGTATCAAAAATACATATCCGTGGTCGGTATCGGATACTTAAGAAGGAGACAGACCGAAGAAAGCTCTTACAAAGAAAACACCAATCGAAGGTGAACTTACTGAGCGAAGAGACCAAACGAATGAGACTCCTGACAAATGATACCAGTCGATGATGGATTTTAACAAATGATACCAGCCGAAGCGGGGTTTTGAAAGATACCTGCCGGAGCGGGATTTTAACAAATGATACCAGCCGAAGCGGGATTTTGAAAGATACCAGCCGAAACGGGATTTTTTGAGAAATACCAGCCGAAGCGGGATTTTGAAAGATACCAGCCAAAGCGGGATTTTGAAAGATACCAGCCGAAGGTGGATTTTAAAGGATGCCAGCCGAAGGTGGACTTTAGAGGGTGTCAGCCGAAGGTGGACTTTAGGATAAAGAAACCAGCCGAAGGGGAATCTTCATCCAGGAATACTATGCCAAAGGTAGATTCCTAAGAAAAGAACGTCGGTCGAAGGCGGACCTACAACTGCAAAGAGACCAGCCGAAGGGGACTCTCAACAAACGGTACCAGCCGAATGTGGATTTTAAAGGATGCCAGCCGAAGGTGGACTTTAGGATAAAGAAACCAGCCGAAGGGGAATCTTCATCCAGGAATACTATGCCGAAGGTAGATTCCTAATAAGAGAACGCCGGTCGAAGGCGGACTTACAACTGCAAAGAGACCAGCCGAAGGGGACTCTCAACAAACGGTACCGACCGAAGGTGGATTTTAAAGGATGCCAGCCGAAGGTGGACTTTAGGATAAAGAAACCAGCCGAAGGGGACTCTTCATCCAGGAATACTATGCCGAAGGTAGATTCCTAAGAAAAGAACGCCGGTCGAAGGCGAACTTACAACTACAAAGAGACCAGCCGAAGGGGACTCTCAACAAATGATAAAGGTATACATATCCGGTCAGAGTTAGATGCATAAGAGAGAAGTTGATCATCAAGAAACAAATGT